ATTACATTGCATGGCGTAGGCTATGCCCGTCTTCATTAACCCAGTCGGTGCAGGACAGTATAACGTTAAACCCCATTTCTTCTCATTTCATAAGTGGACAAGAGTACACACTGACAAGCGTACTGCCGAACAAATGTACTGACAAGAGTGTACTAGCTGACAAGGGTACTAACTGACAAGCGTCCTAAATGACAAGAGTACAAACTAACGTGAGTGCAAACTGACAAGAGCACTAACTGACATGCGCACTGACTGACAAGAGTACTAACTGACAAACGTACTTACTGACAAGGGTGTCGCGGTGACTCAGTAAGTAAGACGCGGTTCGCTAACCTTGAGGTAAACGTGTCGGCCTAGAAAGTTCACCTGGATTTCCCGCATTGTTCCCCCTGTTCGGAGGACCTGGCAAGGTACAATGTAATCTACCGTCCTTCGGATGGGACGAAAAACCTAAGTCCCGTGTACACATGGGCATGTGCTTAAAAGAACCCTTGAAAGTTGGAATTCGATATAAGATAAGGCCGTAATGACGATGTGCAGGCAAATTTGCCCTCATAATACACTGTATAGCGTATGCCCATCTTCATTAGCCCAGTCGGTGCAGAACAGCAGGACGTTAAATCACACTTCGTTTCATTTCACAAGAGAGTACAATCTTCACTTTCTTATAACCATGTTTCGCAGACTGGCCCCCGTTAGAAAATAATCAGTATGACAATTTGTTGTTGCTTTAAGATTGGAAATGTCTAGGTTTTTAGCTCTTTCGAATTCAGTTGATTTTAATAATTAGTTACTATCGACAAATACATTGGATGTTTGCTCGAGAACAGTGGGGGGTTTGGTTTTGTTTGAGTTTTTCGTCCGACTACTGGACAATTGGTTATTAATTCTATTTTAGTCCCCGTTAAATATATCATGTCTGATGTTCATTCCGCACACAGAGAACTATCTACTATGAGAATAGATCTCTGTCATAAATGGCCGCCATATTCAAAGATTAGTATAGTATTTTGCAATGGAGGTTCTTATCGGTTTCACATCTGTCGCACACACAAAGACGAAACACACATTTTCGATTTTATTAAATGTCCGCAGAATAAATACTCCTCAAAATTCTCATATACTTAGTGTTTTCGACTAAAATGGCCGATTATGTCGGTCAATTAAATTCCTGTCTAATTGCAGACAGACAGCGTAACTTTCGTATGGCAAGACAAATAAAGAATAAAGCAATTTTTCGCAAAGGTCGAAATATATATTTACATGGTATTTTTCCCAAAACACCTAGAGCTAATTATTGTTGAATACGAAACACATTCTTGCCCGGTTCTTAAAATACAGTGTAAGTGTCTGTAGCAAATACTTCCCTTTATATTTCCCTTCAATTGACCAGTCTAATTTTAGCAAGCAGTTATGAGAGCAAAAATGTGCTAAACCAACCGGTTTATAATTGTTAAAGATACATTACGGAAAACTTATATAAGGAGCTGGTCGTTTTTGCTATAATGGTTCAAAAATAAATAATGAGAAATCCATAATATTGAAAATTTTAGTCAAATTAATTTATTCTGAGCGACATTATGAATGTTTGAAGTTTGACAAGAATCGAGTAGCCTCGAATGTCATTGCTACGATCATAAACAAAATTTTCCATTTTCGATTTTTTTCGTTAACCGATTAAATGGTGGGGATGGTTTGATCGAATTGATATCCGAGCCATCAACTGGTCTGTAGAGTTGGCTGTGTGCTTGTAATGTGCATGAATACATGTTTAAATGATAATTTAAATAACATTTTGAAGCCAGAAAATAGACCAACAATAGGCAGATTTAGCTCTTACATAGTTGTCACCAATATCAGAAATGTAAGTCTCCCCTTAAAGTAATGGAACAAGCTATTTTAACAATAATTGAAATTACGTTTCAGAAACTATCCAGTCGGTACTTTCATTTGGTAAGTCATTTATTAATCATATATAATAAAATCGTCGTTAATACTGAAGAACAGTGTCTAATGCCATGTTGGTTGTTATATTCAATGATTATTTACATATCATGGTTTTGAGTTGAGATTTAAAACATCCCACTCGTATTATTATTTTTTTTTTCATTGCCTATAAAATCAAATGTCGACAATCATTAAGTGTAATTTACATCTATATTCAAACGTTTCTTTACTATTTTTGTATTTCTTACGAAATACTGCTTATAGCACGCGTCGGGGGTTGGGTGGCTAAATGGTCCAACGTGTGCGCTTTAGATCATAAGGTCTGTCGTTGAGTCAAGTAAGGGACAAGGAGTGTGGTCGCCTGTCCAAATTGGTTTCCGCCCGGGTTTCCGTCCACTGCTAAAGACCCCTACGAGCAAGCGGGTTATGAGAATCAACCGACCATATGTTCATCCCACAATGACATAGTTTTGTGTCGAGTGAACGTTCAACTCCATTTCTCTCTCTCTCTCTCTCTCCCTATAGAACGCGAAATTATTGAACTAAGCGATATTACTGAACTATACATTGCTATTATGTATTTACGAATGCTTAAGGGGATACTAGACACTATTATGATAATGAAAATGACCCTAAGCACAATAAAATATTATCTTCTTTAAAAAGGTAATTTCAAATTTCCGAAATGACAACTTAGAGCACAGCCTTATACAAGCATTCGTCAAATGAAAGCCTACATAGGTTTGCAATGAAAGGAAATGGACTTAACATCCTACTGCTCTGCTCCGACTGGGCTATAATGACGGGCTATGAGGGGAATTCTGCCCGGACAGCGATTCTAAGGGCTACTGTTATATCGAACTCCAACTGTCAAGGGTTCATTACGGGTACACCAATGTGTACACGAGACCTCGATGTTCAATCCGACTATACATCGTCCCTTGCCAGACAAGCCAACCTACACGCCAGATAATCCAGATGAACTTTGTCGTCCAACACCGGATCGAACACAGGTTAGATAGCTAAAGTCTTACTCGCTGAGCCACCGTGGCTTCACGTGGGTTTGATCGAAGCGTTATATTATGATCTTTTAGAAGTATTTAGTAACTGGATAATGTAATAACAAGCAGTGCATTATGTTATGGTGACCAAAGCCTGCAACTTGTTCTAAATGGAGATAATGAGATGTTATGTGAGTTAACCATATATCATAAAGTTTCTATTATTAAACAAGCAGCGAGACAAATCGTGTCGTAGTTTCCGTCTGTAATTTATGATCAGGACAATATTGTAAAAAATGTTAGGAATTTCCCTGGTGTTTGTTTAAGCGAGTCCCAGATCTCACTTAATAAACCCATAATACAAACACAACCGATTATATACCTCTTCGATTTCGCATAAAATTTTTGAAATTCAATAGGGTTCTACGTTATGGCCCAATGATCAATGGGGGGAAACTTTGCCCGGACAGCAGCACTACAGCCTACTTTTGTATGAAATTCCAAATGTAATGGATTCTTTTATCTCCAACCGCTAATTACAACTTTATTTGAGCTACGTCCGACCGCTGACCTTTAAATAAAATGTAAAATCATCGATAGTCTCGAATGAATTAATTGCTCCCCCTCCCCTTTTTAAGAAGGCTGGTACCTACGGAATTGTATCTACCCGTCTATCTGTCCGTCCGTATGTTTTCAGTTGTTGACCGAGAAAGTTCACCGCGATTTTCCGGTGCGGTTCCCGATTATCAGTGGCGCAGGGCGGAGGGACTGGCAAGGGACAACATACAGTCGTGTACATTGGCGAGTACATTAAAGAACCCTTGACAGTTGAAATTGGATATAACAGTAGACAGTTTGCCTGTATGACGTATGCCCGTCTTTATCACTATTTTATGGTGACCAAAGCCAGCAACTTGTTCTAAATTGAGATAATGAGATGATAATTATGTGAGTTAAACATATATAAAATTTATATTATTAAACAAGCAGCGAGACAAATCATGTCGCAGTTTGCGTCTGTAATTTGTAATCAGAACAATACTGTTATGGGTTCATGTATTTCCAACCGCTAAATACAACATTGCTCACCTTCAAATAAAATGTTAAACCATCGATATTCGCGAATAAATTAATTGTTTCGCCCCATTTGGAGAAAGTGGGTACCGACTAAAATGGGTCCACCTGTCTATCCGTCAGTCCGTTTTTATCAAGTTGTTGAGCGAGAAAGTTCATCACGATTTTCCGGCGTGGTACCCCATTATTAATGGCTCAGGACGGGGGAGCCTGACAAGAGACAACGTACAGTCGTGCACATTGACGTGCATATAAAAGAACCCTTGACAGTTTAACGTCCACTCGACACAAACTATGTCATTTCGGGACTAACATATGCTTCAATCTTATTTCAATAATTCGCTTGTGCGTAGGGGGCTTAAGCAGTGGAAGGAAACCAGAGGACCAGTAGAAACCCTACGAGGTTGGACAAGCGACCCTACTCGAACAACCGGGAAATCGAAACCACACCAGTTGACTCAATGACAGACCTCAAGATACAACGCACACGCGCTAATCATTCGCCGCGACCACCCCCACCCCCAAACCCCGAAACTTAGGCCTCACCAATTTAATTTTCTGTTTCTTCTTGACTTGATGAATAAAAAAGCCACTTGAATTACGTGTAATTGATTTGTTTAAAATAACAAAACATAAAACTTTGAAACTAAAAGCACAACCATGTGCGTTTGGTTTTGTAATTAAGTTTTTTTTCCCGAACAATTAAGAAGCAGCAGTTTGAAAGGTGTTCTTGAAGAACTTAATGACAACATAAATTGAACAATGTTAATGAATAATGCACATAAAGTATGACATGAACTTGATAATACAGCTTACCCTGAGAAAAATATTAAACAAAGCACAGACAAATAACTTAGTAACAAAACGGTAGAAAACCGTTTTCCGTTAAACAGTTCATATCAGCAACACTTAATGGCAACATGGATTGCACAAAGTTTATAATCATGCGTATGAGAAGAAAATATTAATATAGCTTACCTTAACAAAAATATTAAACCAAGTATAGAAACATACGTTGTTAATAAACCTGTAGAAAAATGTTTTTCGTTAAACAGTTTAGTGAGTTACAACCAGCTGTATAGGAATATAAACGGAAAAGCCTATACCGCCAATCACTGCCAGTGTTATATGTTTCACGCTTTCACTACGGCCAATCACCAGTTTTACACTGCCGTGACGCGCAAACATTTTGTTGGCTTTATCGTTTATTGGAAAACCGATTGTTTTACGGGGACATGTTATATTGACCATCAATCATATAGCATATATATAATATCATGACAATATTTATGAAATATAGAAAAACGTAATATTTAGTATGAAAATCGAATTGAAAGATACATTAAAAGCTTTTACATGGAAATCGTACCACACATTTAGCGTAGACAGCCCAAATTCAAATCTTAGAAAAAAATATTTATGAAATATAAAAAACGTAATATACAAGAATCACAATTATTTAGTATCATAATCGAATTGAAAGATACATTAGAAGCTTTTACTTGGAAATCCATTTGGAAAGTGTACCACACATTTAGCACCGTTTGCCCAAATTCAAATTTTGGGAAAATATTTTTGAATTATTAAAAAAAAACGTAATATACGAGATTCATATTTAGTATCATTTAATGCTTAAAGGTTTTACTTGGAAATCCATTTGGAAATCGTACAATACATTTAGCGTCGTTTGCCCAAATTCAAATTTGGGGAAAATGTTTGTAACTCTCATAAAGCACTATATTTTCTCTAGTATCGTAATCGAATTAAAAGATAAATTTAATGCTAAATTTGTGGGAATTATTTATAACTCTCGATAAGCACTATATTTTATTTTAGTTCGACTTGGTGATTGTATATTTCACTATACAGTATATCTGTTTACATTTAGCACAGACCTCTCGTCATTTGCCCAATTTCAAATTTGGGGGATTTTTTTTTTTATATAACTCTCATTAAGTACTATATATTTTTATTTTTAGTTCGACATGCCGATTTTATACTACGCTAAACCGTATGTCTGGTTTATATTGTAGAGACATGGAAACATATTCCTATTCCTCAAAACACATTTCCTATATACAATATTATTCTTACTAAATGTTAGATACGAAGCTGTATGGTATATTTTGCAGATGTAGTTTGCTTTCTGTAAGGCAGTCAGTTAGTTATATAGTGTAGAACAAGCTTTAGCTAGCTCTGGTCTGTGGTTTATTTTCGTTGCGTTTCATTTTTTTTTTTTTTAAAAATATGCTTGCCAACAATTGCTCCACATGTGAAGAAGCTTACATTATTATTTAAAGATGCATTATGTACGATTTAGATAAAAAAAAGCTGACCGTTCTTGCTATAATAGTTCAAAAAAATAATGAAAAATAAATATATTGAAAATTTCATTTAATTATTTTATTCCGAACGAAGCAATATGTGTGTTAAGGGTGTTTATTATCGCATCAACGGTACTTGACAATCGATATTATCCATTTTATCGTTTATCTATCAAATGTCGCGGTATCCAACCATTCGATGGTCTAGAAAGGTTGAATATAATGAATGTCACATAATAGTTTATATAACATAAAGACGGGCAATAGGAACATTTAGCTGTTACGTAATGAATATATAAAAGAAATCATTCAAATTACTTTCTTCTGAGCGATGATATTAGCCTTTGTAGGCCTGACAAGATGTGTGCACCTATTGTAATCTCCGTACTGGTTGTTCGAAGCTTACCATCGCTTCACCATTTTTAGATTAAATCATTAAATGGCTGAACCGTTCTAATCTACTTAACATCGGACCCATCCGATGACACCGGGGCTTGATTAATTAATAGTTTATGTAACATTTCAAGCCTAAAGAAGGGCCTGCGTTAGGCAGATTTAGCTCTTGCATAATGAATGTTTAAGTATACTCATTGTTGAATGCCCAATGGAAATTCGGAGTTCTAACCATTTCGGAATTTGCAATGTTGATTTATTGTTTAAAAACATGTTATGTTACTTGCCAACTAATTTAAGAATTATATGTTTGCAAATGTTATATTTATGAAATATGGTTTAGCTCATGCATAATGCCTGTTTAATTATACCATTGCTTCAAAAGTTTAAAGTTTCATTTAAGATAAATACGTTGTAAAAATGACAAGGATTTCAATCATCTGCCTACTTCTTTTCACCAACCAGCATCTTTAGCTGAAACTGGATATGACCGATAATTGGATTTACGGAATGACAGCTTGTATTCTTATCCGCTCATTACCATTTCGACATGGGTACCCGCTAGTCCTGATTGATATAAACACATTTAAGAACCTGAAGAGGCTAACGAATTCGATCACGAAAATGAGAGATTCCTGCCGAATTGTTTATATTAGTTCAGATTCTAATCTTTTAGAGGCATTTATTAGTAACTGGTTACAGCAATAAACTATAACACGTACTTAAGTAAAACAGCTACTAATTTATTTGGGCGACGTTTCGAAGCAACGTTATGAGTTAATACAGTTTAGATTCGTTCTCACAACAGCGTTTTCGCGGTTGTCCTTCACTGGCACTGTCGCGTTTAGATTTTCATATTAGATAAAACAGCAGGACATTAAACTCCATTTCATTTCATTTCATATTAGATAAACTAGGCAGTAGTAGCTAAGTCAAGGACTCAAGTATAGACACCATGCTATGAAACTCTACAGTTTACTTAAAACCTATCTGTAGAATTGTTCAGTGTGTATTTCGGTTCAACGAAAGTTCACTATAACCTCCAATAAGGATTCCATGCTATGAAATGCTATACATTACTTAAAACCTAATCGGCATTCGATCATGTAATCCAGCCAAGATGGAAAGAGATTGGGAACATTTAGAATTTTCTTTGTATATTGAAGGAGCTAAATCTCTATTCTGAGGAAGCTCAAAAAGGACGACACTTGGCGGAAAACATATATTAATGTAAAATGAGTGGGTGGAAAAGCACAAATTAATGTAATATGAATGTATTTAAAATGATTTACATTCAATTTTTGAAATGTATATTCTAATTTCTAATCAGTACGGTTCAGCCTGGTTATTCCTGTCTACATATGGATTAAAGTTTGAAATTTCACTACCACACTGAACCTTTGCCTCGTTTACCAAGTCGAGGTATTACAAATGGCACTCGAGAGCAAACAATACACGTCGACGTGTACTGGTTTTAAATTGTTCACTTTGTCTTAAATCAGAAGTCTATATATTTTCACGGTAGGATAACACCAATATTGATTGGAATGAACCAATAATAGTACCTGATTGTAATGTCGAAGACTGGATCATATTGAGTTAAGAGCTTTATCTCCTTTAATATCAGATGGTTGATATTTGTCAGTATATGATTTGTATATATATATATATATATATATATATACGTCAATTAATATATACTTGATTCAGTATATATTGATACTAATGATACAGTTTGTTAAAGTTTGGTGGGAGTCACGGTGGCCCAGTGAGCAAGACTTTGGCTCCCTAACCCAACATAATACTTTGTATGTATGTCTCCCATTGTCCACTATTGCTTTTATCCAGAGCCACGGTGGGTCTTTAAGTAGTGCGCAGTCCTACCAACCAACACCAAGAGTTCCGCCTGGTTTAATCCCGGTGTTCCAGGTCATGTTTCAGAGGGGTGTCCACTTGTCAGTGGAGCAGGGCGGGGGACCTGACAAGGTAATGTGTCGTGTCGTTAGAATTTTTTAAATAACCCAGATCGCGTTTACCCATTGACGTGTACGCAAAAGAGCATTTGGTAGTTGAAATTCAATACGTTGTTCCTTGCCAGACGCTCTGTCCTGCACCAATTACAAGGGACAACCGAGGGTTTGAACTTCGGGAACATGGAGTAAACGGTATAGACGGATATTATCTAGTTGGCGCTCTGTCCTGCACTAATTACAGGGGACAACCGAGGGTTTGAACTTCGGGAACATGGAGTAAACGGTATAGACGGATATTATCTATTTGGCGCTCTGTCCTGTACCACTTACAAGGGACAACCGAGGGGTTTGAACTTCGGGAACATGGAGTAAACGGTATAGACGGATATTATCTATTTGGCGCTTTGTCCTGCACTAATTACAGGGGACAGCCAAGGGTTTGAACTTCGAGAACATGGAGTAAACGGTATAGACGGATATTATCTATTTGGCGCTCTGTCCTGCATCACTTATAAGTGACAACCGGGGGTTTGAACTCCGAGAACATGTAGTAATCGGTATAAACGGATATGATCTATTTGAAGTTTTGTTTGTCCCCTTGACACCATTAACTTCAGACAGTATTCATTTATTTAAAACGTGGTTATTATAGGCAGCTCGTTTTAATTAATCCCAGGTGAAACTGAATGTCGCCAGACCTTACGATGAACCATAGTAATTTACTTAAAGAATTTGTCAGACTCCCTGTGATCTCATTATATATGCATTGTTTTGGTCCACTAGCCACTTTTTACTCCATTGGTAATAATTAAATATTTAAAGTTTCATGGTTTCCGTTTATCAAAGGAATATAATACTTAACACGTGACACAATTATATGGAATAATACAAGTTACTTGAAAGATTTATTTATGACGTAGTTACGACGAGGGTTCTCTCGTCTTTATCAAGCAAAGAATTTATTAGTTATAGAGGTTAATGGTGTCCGTTTAACAAGGGTTTTGTTTATATTATATACCTTTCTTTAAAGGTTCATGATGTCCGCTTATAAAGGGGTTTGTTTATATTATATACCTTTCTTTAAAGGTTCATGGTGTCCGTTTATCAAGAGTGTCTGTTTGCCTAGGTTATTCCCCTTCCCTTAAAATTTCATGTTGTCCGTTTGTTAATGGCGTATTGCTTGTATTGTGCGAAATGAAATGGGGTTTAACGTCTTAATGTCTGCACTGGGCTAATGAAGACTGACGTACGTCATACATAGTGCACGCAGAACATTTTGCCCAAATAGCGGCACTATGGCGTGGCCTACTATTATTTCGAATTCCAACTGTTAATCTTTCTTATACGTGCACAGGGCTTCGGTTTTCCGTCCGATCCGAATGAATAGCTTGAGTGT